AGAAATTAGAGAAGAATTCAAGGAAGAAATTAGCTTGCTGAGAGCTCAAGTTCAAAGTTTAGGAGGTATACCAGCTAGACCAAGAAACTCATCCAAGCACTATTTTCCCTTTAGGGTAGGTACTCCTACTAGTGTCTCTTTTCAAGATAATGTTGGTATCCTTTTACATGAGGACTTTTATCAGTATACATACCTAGCACCTCTACTTCAAAGAAGGAGATTGAGGCAGCCATTGATAGTGACTTACAAATACCCTCCAAGATTGGGAATCTGAGGGTTAGACCAATTTCCTCTACTAATTTTGAACTAAGAGCTATGCTTGAAGATAGTTTAAAAGGATCTGAGTCACATGCTTTAGAGAGCAACAAGCTTGTACTAGTTGTAGCCAAGATTACTAGAGAGTATATTGAAATATCTGATGATGAGGAAGACTTGGAGTCTGCACAATCACCCCTACCTTTTACTCTATTATTCTCTAGCATCAATTGTACTAATGTCTTTTAAGACTTAACTAGGAGAAATCTCAATTTTGTGTTCTCTTCTACACCTTTCACTTCTATATTAGAATTTAGTATAGTGTTTAAGCCTCCACCAAGGTTCAAGAATAGACTAATCTGGACTGAAAGTCATACTTCTTCATCCTATGTGCCTTCCTTCAACTTGTTTGTTCCTATTGATCTATCTAAGCCTTTTGTTGATGACAAAAAGGGGAGAAGTGTAATGTAAACCTACTTCACATGGCAGATAATAAGGTTTAAGATAGTGGTTTAGACAAGTATATGGTTGAAGATTCAAGAAGTGGTAAGCATAAGGGTCAAGCTATTGTGAGAAGACCAATAAGTGCCTCACCTAGACTCAGTAGATTCAGAGTAAAGTCTTCAAAAACTTCTAAGCCTCAAACCTCATCTAAACCCTTTAAACCTCAATCTTCTCAACCCTCTGAAATACCTAAACCTTCATTTCCTGCTACCAAGAAATTTCATGAAATAATGGATTTCTTTCATGCTATCTTTAAGAAGTGGACTGAGTAGTCGTTTGAATGTTTAACTGTTTATATGTTTGAGCTTTCTCTAATAATTTGCACCTTCTTCTATATATATATATATATATAATATGCATTTCTTCCATTTTTATTCTATGATTATTTCTTTTAACAAGTAGAGATCAAAGTCTCTTCGAGAGCTGACTCTTTGCATTTGAGTTTTGTCATCATTAAAAAAGGAGAGAATGTTAAACCTTAGTTTTGATGATTACAAAATAAAGAGAAGTTTGTTGCATTTTTAGGTTTTCTTAATTAAAATAAATGGCTTAACATTAAACTTAGCTAAGTGATAGGTTATATGAACAGAAGGTATGCCATCTTAGTAGTTAAGTAATTAATTTAACTATAATCCTTTATGCTTGAAGTTATCTTGTTGAAAAATATTTCCAAGTATTGATAACACAAATCCTGGATGCCTTAACACTTGTTTTATGTTTGTTATCTTCACTGTTCTATTGATTATTGGTACATAAAACACTAGTCCTACTCATTCTAACACCTATGTTACCCTTTTGTACTTATGCAATTGAGTCTCTCTTATTCAAATCTTTTTCTTTGCAATGGTACTATCTCTTCAACATTGGTCTTAATTCTCTTTTATCCTTGATTTAGTTACGTCAATACTTATGTCACGTGGTTAGCATTTGTACTAAATTTTGCTTAAATTTGTGCAATACTTGTGTTAACATCTTAACACTGGTACTGTCCTTTCTTCTATTCTTTAAAGAGATTTGATCAATATATTACTTTGGTGTTATTTCCTTTTAACACTAGTGCTAAATAATCTTTTTAAAAGTTTTCTAATTCTTCAAAAAATATCAAAAATCTTCATCTTTTATGTACTGGATTACATCAATACTCCAAGGACAACACCTATACTAAAACTTTCCTCCTGTATCTGTTCATGACTGTAACACTGATGCTAGATCATAATAACATCGGTGCTACTATGAATTTTTGTTCTTTTTTTTGTATCTCTTCTGAACTTCATCAGAACTTATCTTTTAAACATTCTTTTCATCTATAATCAATTAATTTCACTCTATATCCTTACCAAATGATATCTAAACATATTTGTCTTATTGAAAGTCTTCTACCTACAAATATTTCTTCTGATCACCAAGCTTTTCTTCTATTATATCAAAACATATAAGCTTCAACTACTTTTGTTAGAAGCATTTAATATTTTTTACTGTTACTATACAAAAGAGGAAGTCTTTGCCATAAAGTGTTGTTCCATTAGCTACTAGTCCACTAGGGAACCTTAGAGAAGCTCGGATATGCAAAGAAACTCAAAGTTAGAAGGAAACAAACCACAGGCAAACTCCAATAGAAAAATTTATGAGTCTAATATATCATTTATGATTCACAGCTATAAATAAGGCTCATTTATGAGGCACGGAAGTAAGAGGAATAACGTGAAATGTAAGAACATTATGCATTTATTGAGTATCGAAGTTTACCTGCCTTCTATGTATCATTTATTAATAGAAAGTTTCATTCATTATATATATACTCTTAAAGAGAGTTTTAGAGCAATGATAGTTCATTCTTGAAATTACTCTATTTATCCCTGTTTTACGTCTTTAAAATAGAGGAACTTTAGCTCAGAGAGTTTAAGGGGATTCATTTACCTTTGTAAGGGAGAGAGTTTCAGACCTATTGAAAAGTTTGTTTATGTATTGTGGTAACCAAAAGCCCAGATTAATCTTGGCAATATAGTTGAAAATCTCAGGAGGTTTATGAAGACTAAATGTAGATTTAAGTGGTAGGAGTCAAATCAAGATAAATCATCTATGTCGAGCTCTATTCCTTCAACTCATGTGATTAGTGATTTCATTCCTTCATCTTACTTATTATTATTATATTTCATTTAAATTTTTAATTAGCCTAATTCACCCCCTCTTGGGGCATTTATAGTGTGTAATCAATGATTTGATGAAATGAGTATGTATTTGCTATTGCATATGTGAAATGAGAAAAGTAAAGTTAATATTACTTATTTATAGATTTTAGTTAATAGGTTGCTTTAGATTATCTTGGTTACTGAGATTTTTATCTAACCCCATGATTTATGTTTTTTAGATCTTGAGATTAATAGCAGCAAGAGAAAAGAAATAGGCTAGGAGTTGTGAAACTACTAGAAGTCCTAGCTTTATGCAATGAATTGAAATATTGTACATGAATATGTTTATAAGTTGCCATAGGAATGCATACATATATGTGATGTCGATGTTCTTATATGTGTGTGTCTTAGCCTTGAAGTGTGACAGTGTATATTGTGATGTGGAATTTAGTCATGCTTATGAAATATGTGAGAAGTGTGGAAGATAGCCTTATGTGTGTGGAAGGCATAGTTTTGACCAAATTTAGATGCACACTCACACACATATATAATTACATGAAAATTTAGGCTAAGAGGGTTAAGATACTTGTATAAGTGCTTGATTGTATGTTTTAAATGTTGTTATGATTTGTTAGCCAAGTGAGTAAGTTATGTGCACAATGTGCAAATAGGCCCTATTGAGCAAAAGGGCAATTAACTGGCTAAAAGTGTGTATATTGTTATTATTGATAATGTGTGTCATCAATTAGGTGTAAAGTGACCCATTAGATGTGGTCAAGCCCTTGAAAACAGCTAATGGCATAAGGTTTGTACTTGGGACGCTTGGGTATAGAAAAATGACATAAAGCGGTCATTTTGCCTTTAGGTGCCCAACTTTCAAAAGAAAAATCATATTGGGATGAAACCTATGTCATTAATTATATTTTGAAACAAGTGATATGTAGGCACTTGAATCACTCTAATCGGGCATTAGATGTGAAAATGGCGCATGATGGAAGTTTGTATTAGTAAAGCTATTTTGACAGTAAAATTTAATACGTGTGCCGCAACACATGATGTCACATACTGTGATGCATGGCACAGCGTGACGATTTGTGATTTTGTACCACATGCCACAGCGCAAATGGTACAAGCCTCGATGCATAGTCTTGTTTAGTCAAAAATTGTGATCTTGTTCTAGGATTTAAGTATAATAGTTATGCATTCTTAAACACTCTTGTGAACACCGTATTTTTTCCGGACATTTTTTTAAATAATAATAAATAACCAAAAAATATAAAAATACAAAAAATGAAATTTAATCCTTTTTTAAGATTATATTTTCAAAAAAAAATAATTTAACAAAATTAACAAAAAATAAAACCTTGCTTAAAATCTCTTCAAAATTATCCTAACCATTCAAGATATTAAGAACTAATTTTAAGAGTCAACTTCTTTTGAATTTCTTCCTTTAAATTTATTATCTTCCAAAAAAATAATATGTTTGCTTAATTCAAAATCAAATTTCTTTTGTCTTTTTTTTTAACTTCTAAATTAACAAACAAGATTTTTTTTTAAAAAAAGAAAGAATTATATTTTTTTTAAAAAAATAATACCCAAGCCGATGGGTTAAATCTTTCCCCATCAGTTCCAAACTTGGTCTTTTGGTCAGATGCCATACACACATGAGCAGAAACATGCACACACACACGAGAGAGCAAAGGAAAAATGCACAACACCAACACACACGAAACATACACAGAAAAATAGAGGCACGGACATGACAGAAAAAAAACAGTAGGAGCACGCACACACACAGCCAACCGAGAGAAGCGCTGGAAAAGGGAGAGCAAACCCCAGACCCATGCAAGGAGGAAGAGCAGAGCAGAGCCTGCCAGACACGCGAGCGAAAGAACGAAGTACAGAGCAAATTTTTGGCTACACGCAAGTCACGAGTTCAGGATGTTTTTACCCGAGAGGTGGAGAAGCACTAAAAAAAACAGAGAAGAAGAGCATAGGCACAAACACAGCTGTGGGAGGAGAGAGGAGACTGAGATCAGGAAAACAGAAACAGAGCACCGAGGGGACTGAACAGAGCTGAGAGAGCTAGAAGAAGAAAACACATAAACATGCATGCATATGTGGGTTTATGGACTGAACGAGATCATCACTTTCTTCTTCCCTCAGTCACGAGTTCAGGATGTTTTTACTAACAACAAAGAACTAGAAACACATTCAAAACTTGAGGTTGAGGTGATGAAAGCGTTGAAGAATGCATATCTAGAATCACAGGTTGCTCAAGGTAATATTTAAATCACATCACCTCCTTTAATCTGGATTTATTGACGAACATATATATATTGATAGGTGTGGACTGATCTAGATGTATGTTTAGACATTAAAAAAATTTAGGAATTAAATATTTTTTATGTAGAATTTAGAACATATCTGAGAGGTGTCTGACAAAAAAAATGAGACCCTGTGAAAATATTATTGATAATTTGTGAGGTTGATTGTGGTTTGGAGCCGTGTCTATTGTGGTTATTGCTAGAAGTTCATGCCAAATATGGATTTTTTTAGAATATGTTCCCAGGTCAAAAGAATAGTGAACTGTCAAAATAATTTATTTATCTATTCTTTCCATTGTCTTCATCGCATGAATCATTTAGCCAACTATAATATTATGCACCAACTGCAAATACAAATATTTAGATTATCTATTTGTCATGTGAGATTTTAAGAATCTCCATAGGCATTAGAATGATTTCATATCGTGTAAATCAATAAGATTTCGCAGGTATGAGGATCAATCTTATAATAAATATTTAAGTCTCATGTGAGATTTTAAGAATCTTCGTAGAGACTCAAATTAATCACATTATCGTGTGGGATAGTATATCCCTGCAGATATCATGATTCTCAATCTGTATATATTACATAAATGAATTTTTGTAAATAAAATAATAAATGTTTTTCTGATTTTAATTAATTAAATTAATAAATTTGAATTATAATTACTTTGTCAAATTAGATCTTTTGGTCATGTGAGGTTTTTGAAACTCTATAGACCTTTAAGATAATCGTACTACCATGTGAGTCAATAAGGCTTGATAGGTATAACGGTTAAGATTTCTATATTTAAAAATATGCGTTGTATACTTACGTATTAAAATATATTCAAAGTGAATATTGTTTAATCCTTTTATCGTGTGAGACCTTGTATCCCTGCAGATATTCAGGATAATCTCGTATCGTGTAAATCTATAAGGTTTCGCAGATATGAGAGTAAAACTTTTACGTTAATATGGGTTCAAAAGGCCCATCATTAAATTTAACTCTCTTTTTATAACCCAGATTAATAATTTGTTTAAGTCTCATGTGAGATTTCAAGAATCTTCATAAGGACTTAAATTAATCACATTATCATGTGGGATAATGAGTCCTCGCAGATATAGTGGTTCTCAATATATATGAATGATGTTCGTAAATAATCATATAATAAACAATTCAAAAAATTAATTAACCAAATTAATGTATTTAAATTGTAATCACATTTACCAATTATATCTTTTAGTCATGTGAGATTTTTGAATCTCCGTAGACTTATAAGATAATCGTATTATCGTATGAGTCAATAAGACTCTACAGATATAACGATTAAGTTTATTAAAATATATATAAATTATATATTAAATTAATTAAATTAAAAGACATATTTAAATTTAATTCCTTTATCGTGTCAGATTTTAGAATCTCCGCAGATAATTAGGATAATCATATTACCGTATAAGCCAATAAGGCTATACAGGTATGATGATTAAAATTCTTTAAAACATGTATCTACATGCTAAAAAAGTTATTATCAACATTTAAAAATGTACATAAGAATATAAGAAAATAAATTAAATTGCCAAATTCTTTTATCGTGTGAGATTTCAAAATCTCCACAGATATTTAGAACAATTGTATTACCGTATGAACCAATAAGGCTCTGCAGCCATAACAGTTAAATTCCCAATCATAAAATATAAAGAAAAATAATTTTAAACCCTTTCCTTTCTTTATTAAATATTCAAAATGGAGAAAATAATTAAAATTAAATTACCTTTTGCAATTTAAAACACACATATCAAAATTTCAGAAATTGTTTTATTTGTAAAATGGTGAATTATTTCTAATTAATTTCTCTTCAAAAAATATTTTCACCAACAAACTTTTAAGCTCGAACTACGTAGACTTTGATCCCCATCACAGGGTACGTAGGCCTCAGAGTCAGATTCTGAGTCAAGTTCGTCCTTCCTCGTAAATAAATAAACATCTCTCACTTAATTCTTATCATTTTTGAAACACATGAATGTAAAAGGGATAATTAAAATAATTATAAAACCATATTAATAGAACACAACAAACTTCAGGTAACCGTTCTGACGAACGGGTGTTGTGGGGGGCCTAACACCTTCCCCACACTCAATCGACTCCCGAACCCATTCTCTGATTTTGCAGACCACCTTATCCCCCATTAATCGGTTTCCCGAGATTTACCCCAAAATCTCGGTGGCGACTCCTCGTTTGATTCGGTTCCCGCCGCGAAGGCTGGGACCACCGCTCGCGCACCGTCCACGTTGCATTTTTTCGAGTGCGACAACTCTTGTTATTGGGATTCCTATTTTCTAAATAAATTTTTATGATTTAATAAACTATAGATAGTCGATGGATTAGACACATGAGATGCTTTGATTACCTTGGTGTGGTTTGTGATGCATGAGTTAGTAATGTCTAGGAGATAGGATTACAATAGTCACTTTACAAGCAATTATAATGAAATTCATCAATATTCACTTTTGGGCTAATTTTTACTAGGAACTCAACACTTATTCATGCTTAAGATTCATTTTCTACTGGTATAAAAATACCCATGAGGTTTCTTAGCTTCCTTTAACCCCCATTAATACCATTGACCTCTTTAATGGCCAATAATGGTACCATATTGTCCCAACTAACACATTTATGGGAATTTTTGGATATTTATTGCTTCCTAACCACCAATCATCATAACTCCATAAATACCAAGTTTCATTAGCTTAGTCTACTCTTATTAACTCTATCTAAGTCATGGGTTCAAACTCATAGCCTATATGGATAAAAATCATCATTATCAACTAAACCCTAACTTTTAATACTAAGAAAATGGAAGGAGGAAGGAGGATTTAGGTGTAGGAAGCTTACTTTAATGCTTAGGAGCCCCAAAACACTCCCAAAACTTATATCCTTCAAGCCTGAGCACTACTCTTTCTATCTCTCTTTCCTCTTCTTTATTTCTCTCCTCTGGTGCATTAGTTTTGCAATCTTTTTATAGTAAAAAAGTGTCTATGCACTACAGCAGATGTATAATGTGCCATAGTGCATGGCACGAAGAGCATCCTTTCAGGTGTGTCAAGACATACATATTACGGTGGCCTAATCCACAAGCCATAATGCTTGGCATAGAACTTTCCCCTTTAGATTTCTTCCTCTTTTCATTCCCAGGTGACCCGATTCTCCCTCAAACCTACGTTTAGGGTTGGAAATCACAATCAAACACACCTGTTAGGCCTAGGCCACATAGCTTGCTAATACACTTAATTAATCTAATTTATGCTTAATTAATTCGATTTAAAATTAAGGATGTTACAAAGAAAGGAGAAGAATGGTATGAGTTTTGTGGAGATTTGATGGCTAGAAATGAGAGATAAGATGCTGAAAAATGAAGAACACAAGAGAAAAAAATGAAGAACACTATAAACAGGTGAGAAAAAATGAAGGAGATGAAATAAAATGAGTGTTAGATCTGAATGAAGGGCTTAATGGCGTGCAATCCCTTGTTTCCCATCAGTTGAAAGCTTAATTGAATATAAGAAAAGAAATTTAAATACAAATGGAAGCTTTGTCATACTTGTAAGGTAGCAACCTCCTATTAGTTTGTAAATGATTCTAATGTGTGTAATTTTTCATGTGTCATCCACATTATTAAACTGATTTAATGCCCTAAATAAATCAAAAATCATAGCCCATGCTCTAGCTTTTGACCTCTATAAATGTTGACCTCAATTGCCTAATTGATGCACAAGTGACATGCCCCCTAAGTCACACAAATCACATAATTCAATTAAATAGCATGTGACATAATAAAATCTAATTAATATATAAAATTAAGTTCATAATTAGAAGGGAGAATTTATTAAAATAACCAAATTCCAAGTTGCATAAAATTATATAAAAATTTTCACACAGAGACAAACTGAAAACTAAGTCAAATTAAGACACTTTAAAAAGTGTTGACTTTTTATTTAACTACTCCTAAACTAAAATAAATTTCAAAAATCTAACTTAACCACTCATCAATTGAACATGAAATGCATTTTGTTAATTTTTCTTGTACATTTTCTTAAAAGTTCAGTGTTTGCATGAAAATACCTCGGTGCACTAAACCTAGACAGTTAGGCAATTTATCAATTCTAATGCAATAAGTGCACTTTGAGGTGATAAAACATTAATAAAAGGGTCCCAATTGAAAAATAAAAGTGTGTAACAAATGTGTTCTATCAGCTGTAGCTGTCCCTCTTTGTACCATGCTATATGATGTGTTGCACATATCATATAGCAATTCTATTGCCATTTAATAGCAACCTGGGGCAACTTCAAACATACCCCATTTCTCTGTCTGATGTCCTAATGAGGTGATTTAGATGTCTACAGAAAAATTTGTTCATAAGCTATTTAATGGCATTAGTTTTACTTCTAAATTATGTCTCATAAGAAATATGGACAACCAAACACATTTTCACAACTTTCCACCATTTTCACAACTTAAAGGTGTCCAAAAACCTACACAGGTAGTAAAATCTATTTCTAGCACCCAGAACACACTAAATAAACTCAGGACTACTTGTACAACATATCACATTTACATATACTCAACAATATCAAATCTTCACTCATTAACTCCTTTAATACCAAAAATAGAAGGGGGAGGTGTTGGCATTGCATAAATCATATAATTTTTGAATTCAATAATATGAAAATATTCCTACACTTGCACAAGTATTTTGGTCTTATCAGCATTTAATCAAACTTACATATGTTGGACATAATAGCTTGTGACATTATGTTTAGTTTAAGTTTTGATGATGACAAGTATAGATGAGACTATTATTATGGAACAACTACTTTAAAGTATTTTCACTCATGCTGTTGCATATTACATGGGATTTAAAAAAATAATTTTTATGCATTAAAGTTATTTTATATTATCATTTTTTTCCTTAAATTGATTCTATATCCAAGAGTGTTTAGAGTATTATCTTTCATAACTTGGATATGCATATTAATATTTAGAATAACCATTTTATTCATAATATATCATTTAAGGTTATCTAAAGTAAAGATGAGATTAAGCATGAAGAGAAAGAAATCAAAGTTATCATTAGCATGCATACCATACCCAATGGGAGAACATAAAGAGGAGGATGATCCAAGAAGAGGTTAAAGTATTTAACACACTTATACAAACTTGGATACATCTTGGAAGTCTTGGACTTGATAGGTATAATATCATTAGGTTAGAAGCCTTTATGTTAAACTCATTGATTTAGATATGAAATATTAGCTCAAGATATTTTAAATCAAAACATGCATTTTAGCTCTTAAGAGAAAGAGTGAGATATAAGTTTCTACAATCATATCTTTGATCAAATATATCTCATAGGATTAGAAATGTTTTGATTATTAACTCCATAAAGTTTTCAAATTTGTTCTATTTACTCAAAATAGAGTTAAGTTGAAAAGGTCATGAACACTTGAAGTCTAAGCTTTGAAATGGCAATTCTACATAAAATTAGATTTGACCTTTTTCATATTTCTTATTATATCTCTCACTAAATAGATCATTTTAATGTGAAACATATCTCATTTGAAAATAGACTCGAATAGCTTTTCAATAATAGTTTATTCATTACAAATGGAGTTCTATTGTGAAAGATATGAATTTTAGAATTTGAGCGTTGAGATATTAATTCTGCAAAGCATTTAGAGTTAACCTTTGTCACTCTTGATCATATCTCAAAATTTGAATTGAATTTGAGTATAAACCTTATTCCATTAAAATTTAGACTTCAACATGGAAGAAAGACAGTCTACCTTAGCCATTAGAGATTTCTTAGGCAAGATCAACCTTATTGTAAATTAAAGAAAACTTTTTATGGCCATTAAGAGCACCTTCATGCTCTAAAA